GTTGAGCGAGTGGTCTTTTTGTGCACGATCGTTTGTCGCTGGCTGGTTTCTTTTGCACGATTCTTCGAGTGAGTAGTGAAAGATCGAACAGAAGGAAAGGTGGGTTGTTATTTTTTATGTTTGTATAAATTGTTTATGAACTTACCAACGATTAAGTTAACAGTTTATTTTCCTGTATTTGATAATATTGTTTGACACTGAAATTTCTAAATGCGATTATGAAATTACTTTCATTTCTATAATAGCAGTTTTTGGCGAAACTTTGCGAAGCGATTTGACATTAGTTTAACCGTTTAGCTTGTAGTAATCGTTAACTGTTCTATTTTACTTCAGGTAACATTCTCATTATATTCTCTTCATTTCAATATCAATAATATCATTTTGCAAAAAATCACAAATAAAAACACAACAAATAGTGTAAATAGTAAACTAACAAGTTGAAGAAGATCAGGTAGACCTTACAAGATCCCGACGAGTTTGGCGAACCCGAAATATCCCCGTTGATCCTTCAGAGATCTCCAGATACCCCAAGCGGTCTCTAAAGGGCATTTGAAACGGCGGACTGATAGAAAATAGGCCGTTCCGTAACTAATTGGTTTCCATGGAATCCGGAGGTTTCTGAAATCGGTTCTGCTAACGAGGGCTCCGGGATCGAGCCGCGCGTAACGAAGCAATGGAAATTGCGGGGAATAATGACGCACGAGGTCCAGGGGAACCGTAACCGCGAGAAATATCCGAAAACCCGGCCCGCTCGTAATGGGATCTTGAAAAGGGAAACAAATGGATCCAATTAACGACGCCGAAGCGGCGGAATATTGAAAATATCGGATGGACGTAATTAAAATGCGCCACCGTCCCCGATTCCCACCATCCCCGTCCGACGAATCCTTTTAACGAAATCATTTCTACGTTTTGCCTCAGTGCATGTACACGTAACCACGGAAATCTAGTATCTTCCTCCCACCTCCCTCCCCCTCGGCCGTTGTCCCGCTCTTTCCCGGTGTCTCTCGCCAGGGATTCGTCGGAAATAAACGGGCGACGTAACGGCAGTTTACCATTTCGAACCGCTCACGCAACGGGCACGACACGCGCGTTTCCTCTGCTTGTCTTTTGGCCGTGTCCCTTTTCCGCCCGCCCCTTAAAACGCTACCAAAAACAAACTGTTCCTGTCAGCGGGTCGCCGCGCGGCGACTTATTCCTAACTCCCGTGAATTATCGATCTATTTGCGAGCCGTTCGTGAGATTTTTCCTTCGGCTTCCCCGCCGCTTTATTTCGGTTCGCGTGCGTCCTTGAGGTAGCTCTCCCGTTGGAAGAAACTCGACTGTTCCTCTCGCAAACACACTTCCTGCTTCCCTTGCGACGAGGATCGAAGCAGGATGAATTCAGGAAAGATTGTCCAGTATTTATAAAAGAACTGTTACATTGAAAATATCGTTGATGAGTAACGGGACACTATTTATTTATGGAAGCAAATACATGTGAAAAGAATTGTTGAATAGACCTCCGAGCAAGATTTAGTACCGCGAACAGTCAAACGACCGATTTTAAGATTTAATTTAAAATTGTCTGTTTTTCTTCGCTCATTCAACATCAAATCAATTCCTATGTAATCAGATTAATCAGCTTTTCAGTTTTTATCTTCCCCTCTGGTTTTGTTTTCAATAAGAAAAATTTGTCGTTTAATTTGTTTACCTTTATCTTATAAATACTTGATTGAACTTTTATAGTAAGTATCGGTATATACTAATATAGAATATACTAATAGGCGTTGGTGTGTTTAACATTAAGAATCTAAATGAGATTAGCCCATTTCACCTGATGAACCATCTCACTTGGAATTATCCTAATCAGCGTCTACTCTCTCCGGCTCTATTTATATTCGCCGGATTCCGATGTCCGCGACAGATATCTCGAAGCCGCGACTGCCCGATTTACGCGAGTCTCGCGGAACGAAAAGCTCCGCGGAGCGCAGCCGCCCGCTGTTTACGTTCGCGGAACTCGTCTATTTTCAGGGCGTTTTGCAACCAGAACGCTCCAATTACGCACGTAAATGGAGCACCAATTTGCGCGCGGCGTCGACCGGTATTTATGAACCCGATCGACGCGTTAGCAGTCGACATACTCTGATCGATGATCCTTGTTCCCACTTTGCGAGAATTTTTTACGAATTTTTGCTTTACAACGAATTCGTGATCTTATCTCTTTGGATTATATTAACCACTTAACTTTGAAATTTTCTTATTAAACAGGGTTATTAACGAATCATGTATTAGTCTTGTTCCTATTTGTTTATAAATATAAAATAGTTAGCATTCGATTCCTTCCAACGAAAGCTTTTTATTTTGCAGGAAAACTAAACCGTCCTCCTGAATTTAAAGAAATTGATAAGCTTTAATATTGTCTTTGGTGAATTTGTTGTACCTATACACGTCACGGGCTCAATAGTTGAGAAATTAAAGATACTCAAGTTTCATCATCCATTACTCGATTTAACAAAATAAATGAACCATGGTCGGCTTTATGGTTATTTTAATTAATGATTCCTTTCTACATTAGAAGATTCTTTATGAATTTTCTTTCATGTACTTCTGATAAACGAATCTACAAGTCCTTGAATGAGACCGGAACTTGGCACGAATTGTTTGCCTGCAATTAGCTATCGAACGGTTCATTGTTAATTTAATTTAATACTTCAAAAACCGTTCTTCATTCTCCATTCAGAATTTCGTATCCGATTCGATCTGTGTTCCGCTTGCGAGCCGACGACTCCGTGGCAGAGGAAACGAGAATCGGGAGGCGACCAAGCAGAATGAAACGATTTATCCGTCGCGCGAGCACACAGGAGTTCCCTGGGTCCTGTGAAATCGCGAGGGCGATCGTCGTCGACGGATTTATTTGTCTGTGATCGATTATCGAGCCGCTTTGCTCGTCGTTATTCCTGATTTCCCGCGAATCCCCGTACTCCTTAAATTCGTTTGACGCAGGCGCGAGGCACAGGCAATCTCTCCGCATAGTTTCCTCTTTTCTTCTTGTTTCCACAATCACAAGAATTTTTGTTTTTCTTATCCTCGTGGGAATTTGTTCTTGCATTCCTTCAGCGGGAACGCGACGCCCACGCCCCGATTGCTTCCGTAACTTAATATAACCTCAGGGCGGTGTTTTCTATACCAACGTCCAATCCCTTCAAAACAAGATCAAATATGTCGATTGTTCGTTAATGATGGATTAACCGTTTGAGTGTCAAGCGATGCCGTTACACTACTTAAAAGTGCTAGCTCATCGGTTCGTAGGATTAAATTGAGTTTATTTATTCGTTTGACTGATAATTACTTATTTTTATCCTCTTTATTACATACTTAGAAATTAAAAACGGAACGATTGCACCATTTAGAATTTATTTTATATGAAAATAGAAAGACTTAAGCTTGGCACTTCACATTTTTCAACCAGACTTTTGCAAAAACATGTGACACTCAGACGATTAACCTTCTGCGCTACCATTTAGCCGGGCAAAATCCGGATAGTATTTATATTGTGACTCGTAATATTTGTGTTTGGTTCTAAATTCTGATTAGGAGTGAGATTCGCCAAAGCAATGCAATGTGTTAACTCTTTCATGCAGAATGTCGAGTTACACTCGTAAAGAAGTTCTCAAACGGAAGTTACAAAAATGAAATAAATCAACTATTTTCGGTTTGAATTAAATACTATATTTCTATTATTAATTGTTCCAAAGTAACGATGCATACAGGTGAATTGGGAATTCTTCATTGTTGTCTGGTGAATTATTAACCCCTTACCTTACAATGAGACTCGTAGTGAAGATTTTAAACAGAATTGATCGAACATAAATATTATTCAATTTTTATGAATTCAAATGAAGTATTATTTTTCTGTTATCAATGGTCATATTTCAGAGCAAAAATGTACATAGAGTATGCCTAGAATTCCTCACTTTTTTAAATTATTAATGACAAAGTTGTATCGATTACAGTTGAAAAATAAATCATAGGGCAAGGGGTTAAAGACAAAGGTATCCTAGCGAGCATGGTTACCAAAGAAATGATAGGACAAGAGGGTTGAACGAGTGGAGTTTCAAGAAAAGTCAGATACACGATGGAGAAAGCGAAAAGTTACATACTCGTGGCCTCCGCCGCGAAGTCTACTATCGAATCTGCGATCGTAAACTAGCCGCTAGTTCAAAGCCCTTTCCTAGTTCCGCGATAACAAGCAAGCTGCACCGAAATATAATAAGCAAATCGCGGGTAGCCACGCCAACGAAGTCGTTCACCCGGCCGTCCATCCACCATTTTCCGAGATAGGTTAATCATTAATGGCGGTCGGCGCGCGGTGAACCAGCTTCCGGTTAACTGGCGGCAAAACAACTCGTACTCTGTGTTCCTCGCGGCCTCCGACGATTCCGAACGCCAGACACAGCTGAATCGAACAAGATCCTCCAGCCCGCGCCTTGAATTAAACGTCGTAAAGATAAACCGGCTCTCTCGCCATTCAAGCGATCGCAGGGGTTTATTATTGAACGGAGCGGCCGGCTGATATTTAGAGTGTTTCCAGGTCCCGGCTTCTGTCCCGATCCCCGATCAGCCGTCTCCGTTTTGCTTAAAGGCCGTGCGTCGGTGTGTTGAAAATTATGCAATTAATTTCAAATTACGCGAACGTTAATCGACTCCCGGTCGGGGGCCGCGGATTTGTTCAGGGACCGTTGTTGCATTTATTTGCTCAGTTTTCGTGTTGGAATTGAGGAAATCCTGGCACAACGGAACATTGAAAGGAAATAATTGAATAAACGAATTGAGATAATAGACAAACTTTGGGATAAGCTGAAAAATAAAATAAACCGAACCAAAGAGGAGCGAATGGAGCGGTTAACAAATACTTAACTGCGTCTAACACTCTATGATTAATCTCATATTTTATCTATTAAATTGATATCGTATCGTTCTAGAACTGAAAATAAAAGCTCTCTTGTTTTTTGTTACAGGTGACATGGAGATTCTAGCATACTTCTTCGGACCCATCGGCGTTTTGCTCGCGGTGAACCTCCTGTTCTTCGCAGCGACCGCCCGCGAACTAACGTGCGGCCTGTGGAAGGGTGAATTCGTGAAAAGCACCACAGAAAGGTGAGCGGAATATTTCTATCCGGTTGGCAACCGGAAAGGTAAAAATCAACTAAGTTCCGTCGCAGCCCGCGCGACTGCTTCACCGAGACTCGCAGCGGTAGCAGCCTCGCGGGCGAATGTGTGCGTTCCTGGTTCCGCGAGAGAGACAAAAATATTTACCTGGAAGCTTCCCGAGCGATTCAGCTCGGTATTCTGCATCTCGCGCGTGCACTGTACTCGGGGCCGCCTTTGTTTCTTGTAAATATTTACGGCATTTTTCCACGAACATTCAACAGTCCCGGGCTTCTCTTTTGCAACTCTCGCGAAAAAGAGTCTCCTCGAGAAATGGAAGAAGCGGCAGGGTTGAACTCGGAGAGATTCGATCTCTCGTCACGTCGGGAAGCTTTCCGGTTGAGCATTGCCAGAGCTTCTCATTAACAGCTAGATAGATGCAGCAGCGAATTAGGCTCGGTTATTTTCAGTTCGAGAGTGCCACACTTGGGCTAAGCTAGGCCCACTAGAGATCTAGATTGCGTTAAGCTTAACAGACGTTGAATCACCACCGCTTGAAAGCCCGCAATTCGCTGTTTTAGATCTGAGATAATGTATTACGTATTATCCGTTGATAGGATTATACGATCATCAATCACCCACAAACAAACACACATTGAAAGACCCTTCTTGTCATAGTATTGGCCCAGCTGCCTAAACTCTATCAATATAAAGTATGTTCGAACCCTAGGCTCTTTTTGTCGAACTCGATCAGTTTTCTTTATTGTATCCGGCACTAACAACGTCACCTTATTCGCAGCTTTTTGTAAGTGATTCATACTTATTACTGTCTTCAAAGAGTCCAGAACGGTTCGGTCGTCGCGTGCTTCGCAGGACACCGATTATTTGATAGTAAGAAGTTATTATTACTTAAGAAGTAATAGTAAATCTAAATAACAGTCACTGACCGCGGTTTTATCCGTTATTAGCCTATAACGACAGTTTTTGCTTAGCCAGATACGCATTCGCCCTGGAGTTCTCTCGAAGTTAACTATCCATTAAATATCTCATACATAACTTGCAGAAAACCCTTTATAATAAAAGCTACTATAATTCCCTTTAATGCGCGCAGTTAAGGTTGTTATGAGATGAAACAACCTACCATTTAAACACAGAATGAAAATTACCACGTGTTACCAACACGCTCGCGTGATGTTATTCGAAACTCCAGCTTCACAGCGCAGCCGTATATTTATACAAGCCTTTGAAACTTTCTATTATTTTCTACAGAATATAATAGCAACGATAACCACTATCCGACACATAAAATTTGCTAATTCGGTACATTAAAGTTAAATTATAAAACGAATATCCTAAGGGTACTGCGAAATAAAAGCTCCAGAGAAATTAACGTTATGAGAGAATCAGTATTACCTTTCATTGATGCGAGTGCATTAATATTACCGGCGTCTTCTATCATCTTTCCCAACGTAATTTCCCTTCTCGTTCCTCATATTTCTCCCCGTTTTCGTGTTACAACCGCGAGAGATATCCAAAAGAATTGCTACCTCCGTGCACGCCCAAATAATTCAAAGATTCTTGGTAAAAGGGAAACCGTTTTCAAAGGGGATCCATTACCGTTCCCGCGAGATAATCATCGGGACGTCGGGCTGGTTTCTATGAAATCGCGCGAAACTCTGCAGAAACGATTACCGTTTGCCGAGCCGCGGCTGGTAAACCTGGAAATCTTAAACCGCGTTACGGCGAAGTTAAAGAAGCTCGTTTATTTGGTTGGCCGGCTAGGACGGTACTGCAAGAGGGCTAGGAGGAGGGAAGCCACGCGATATACAACGATTAACAGGAGCCGAGGCAACGGAGGAACACCGGTAGCTGCCGGGGTTTCGTGCAACGCGATACATTCGCAATCACGAGAACGGAGTCCGCCTTTATTGCTCGCCTGGCAGGAACGATACTTTATTTCGGCGTGAAGGACAACACCACGAGGCCGATAAATACCAAGGATAACTAGTTCCATCGGTGGGTCCAGAGCGCGCGACGTTACCGCCGGATAATCGGGATCATCGAACGCGCTCAGCCTCGGGACATCCGCTTAACGCGTTCACTGGCTCGGGTCCTGAGGAATCCCAATGCCTTTAAACTCCTTGAAACAAAGATGAAGATTAACGAGCGCAGCGTTCACTATTTATAACACAATCGAAGGCTGCGCTGAAGATACTGGATAGTTCAGAGAAAAGAAACAACTTTCGATGCGGGAGTGAATCGAGCCAAACGCGATCCAAACGACGCATTAATAATGACAATTGAAACACAACTGTTCGCTCGATTGTAGGGTACTTTCCGTAATTGTCAATTAGATCTATAATTGGCTGCATCAGAATTACAGGTCAGCGATAGTTAACGGAAACGAATACTAATTGCGTTAACCGCTACATTTTGAGTGGCGCCGATAAACTACAGATATTTATGCAAATCCACGTTCGCTCGGATCATTTCGAGAAATTTAAAAGTCACAATATCTCGTTCCATTAACGATTTCAGCGGGAAACAATATAATGTTACATCGAGCTCTATTATAATTTTCAACTCATTGAGCTCCGTTCGATCTCTTTAGCCGTAAATCCAGAAAAATCTACCGTCCGCGCATTAACGACTATTTACCACACAAAATTCCCTCGTAACATTGACGGAAACGCAATCATAGAGACCAGCGTCCAATTCGAGAGTCCGCACCGCGCCAGTCCGTCCAGTTACCTTGACCAGCGAACACGATGAGTCACTTTGACCATTTTCGAAAAGCTGGCTGGTTCATGAAACTCGCGGTTTACAAGCGTATCTGCGGGGACGCTGGCGAGGCAGGCGCTTCGAACGAAGCCGAAGGTGTGCCGTAAACCGCGGGAATTCTCGGAGAAAATTTTCCAGATCGATGCGAAAAATATTATCTTCCATTCCCTGCGGTCCCAGCGCGGCATTCCCCTTCCCACTCGCATTTCTCTGATACGCGACGAGCGCCGTTTGACGAATCGCATCCCTTTTTTTTCGTCGGATATTTATGCGATCCCGCGCGCCGCGAGCCTTTTTATAGAGCGACGCGACTCAAAGGAGAATTTATTTTATCACTGCCGCGCCGACAGATATCAGGCATCGAATCGTTATTTTCCATTCGTTCACTGGGTCCCTTCGTGCCACCTTTGCTCCCTCGTCCCGTGCGCGAAATTGATATTGACGATCTCAA